TTTACTTATATCAGTCTACAACAATGCTGATATTGTTCTGAATTTCTTAACACGATTACGTTCGTTGTTATCCCATTTTTATCAGCAAGGATTAAAAGATATGTAGACTGAATCAAACACGGGGGAATACGAGATACGCAAATTACAGATAGCAGCGATAACGTCATCATTTACCAGATAAAATTGCACATAATTAACCAGAGAATCGCTAGCGACTGAATGTCAACAACGAGACTCATCCATGACGAACACTTATGTCGTTTCGTCCGTACACATCGTCGCCGGTTTAGTAAAAGCCAGACGGCACGCGTTGATGAGAATGCGAACTGAAGTGCCGGGCTGCTTAACTAATGCAAATGCACTGCACCGTCATTCGCATGATGTTCACCGCTACGGTTTCTCGGGATCCGCACAAAGCATTCGAAACGAAATTGATGTACCACTTTGCGTCGCCAAATTAATATTCAGTTCCTTTTTACAATCGGACGTAGAAAAATGTATTACCTATTATGTAATAGTATTTATTACTTAACGTTGCTTAAAAATAAAATATATTTCTAAATATTTTTAAATGATACTCTTGAGTGTGCTGCAAGATACTATTTATTTTATATATTTGTTCTTAGTTTATGACATTATTGCGTACTTGAATTAATACTTAGCTTCTGTTTAGTGAGTCATTGCTTACTCTAGAACACAGACGAACAGCTTATCATTTATTACTCAACATTTCTTAAAATTCTAAATAATATTCTTGAGTGTGCGACACGATATTATATTTCTTCGACTATTTCTTCTTAATCCTAACAGTTTCTGATCTACTAGAATTACTCTTTATGAAATAATTACCGATACCTGCGTGAGAAAAATGATCAATTATCGATTATCAATGATTAATTATCAATTATCAGTTATCAATTATCAATTATAAATTGTCAACCGTATTATTCGTTACGACTCTTCGCTGTTGGTTGCAACAATTGTGCAGACAAAAATATAGTCAGACTTTCAAGAAATTATTAAACAAAAGTTTCTCTCGTCTGTTAACACGTTCCGTGCCGAGCTTTTTTTACTCGAATCTTCACACTTTGATATTTTACTAAAACTTGATGTATTACGTGCAATTATTAATTCTCGTACACATAACAACGTAACAAAAACTTATCAACGCCCATTCTTGCGGTGGAAATTGATTCTTCGGTTCTAAATTTCTTGTAAACAATTTGTTCAGTTCACTAAGTAAACATGCANAATTACAGATAGCAGCGATAACGTCATCATTTACCAGATAAAATTGCACATAATTAACCAGAGAATCGCTAGCGACTGAATGTCAACAACGAGACTCATCCATGACGAACACTTATGTCGTTTCGTCCGTACACATCGTCGCCGGTTTAGTAAAAGCCAGACGGCACGCGTTGATGAGAATGCGAACTGAAGTGCCGGGCTGCTTAACTAATGCAAATGCACTGCACCGTCATTCGCATGATGTTCACCGCTACGGTTTCTCGGGATCCGCACAAAGCATTCGAAACGAAATTGATGTACCACTTTGCGTCGCCAAATTAATATTCAGTTCCTTTTTACAATCGGACGTAGAAAAATGTATTACCTATTATGTAATAGTATTTATTACTTAACGTTGCTTAAAAATAAAATATATTTCTAAATATTTTTAAATGATACTCTTGAGTGTGCTGCAAGATACTATTTATTTTATATATTTGTTCTTAGTTTATGACATTATTGCGTACTTGAATTAATACTTAGCTTCTGTTTAGTGAGTCATTGCTTACTCTAGAACACAGACGAACAGCTTATCATTTATTACTCAACATTTCTTAAAATTCTAAATAATATTCTTGAGTGTGCGACACGATATTATATTTCTTCGACTATTTCTTCTTAATCCTAACAGTTTCTGATCTACTAGAATTACTCTTTATGAAATAATTACCGATACCTGCGTGAGAAAAATGATCAATTATCGATTATCAATGATTAATTATCAATTATCAGTTATCAATTATCAATTATAAATTGTCAACCGTATTATTCGTTACGACTCTTCGCTGTTGGTTGCAACAATTGTGCAGACAAAAATATAGTCAGACTTTCAAGAAATTATTAAACAAAAGTTTCTCTCGTCTGTTAACACGTTCCGTGCCGAGCTTTTTTTACTCGAATCTTCACACTTTGATATTTTACTAAAACTTGATGTATTACGTGCAATTATTAATTCTCGTACACATAACAACGTAACAAAAACTTATCAACGCCCATTCTTGCGGTGGAAATTGATTCTTCGGTTCTAAATTTCTTGTAAACAATTTGTTCAGTTCACTAAGTAAACATGCAAGCGTGTACCATCGATGGTACACGTGGCACGGAACGTGTTAATCGTGACAGTGAACGTCTAATAACGAAAACGCTTCGATGACTCATTCTCCGGCGCATCGATCGCACTGTCACTTGGTCACCTGTCAAAAGGAACAATACTTCGCCTCGCGGTCACCAGAATAAGACAATCTACACATCGAACTTGTTTAACGGTGCCCATGGGAGCGCGTTGCCGCATTAATCACGTAACTCCAGCGTCATGCTATTCCCAGGCAACCATGCGAGAAGCAAGGTAACGCATCGCGCAAAAATTATTACGTTTCTAGCCTACGACCGGACGTTCTTATTCATCGTAGCGAAAATACCCGATGAACTATTATCTTGGTTGCAATTACGGAGAGCATGCTGCCGATAAACAATGTTTCCATAGCGGAAAATCGTAAATTACGTACACGCATTCGTGTGGTATTATTCTGTTCGTAGGGGATGATGGTTTTCTCGTCTTATTGTATTAAAACTATTATGCTATTAAATTGTTCGGTGGTATCTTTAATCTGGGTCGAGTAATAGGAGAACGGGAAGGATGGACGATACTATCTTGCGAGCGTAATCGACGATTGAATCATGTCCAGATAGAACCCTTCCTGTCTCGAGTAATGCCAATTATAGCGATATAATTGCGCTGGAATATTATTATGTAAAAGGAAACGAGGATAGCGCAATCAAAGGTAAAATATACAGTAAAATGGAACAGTACGATTTCAAATGTTAAAGAAAATTGTTAAGCCCAAGGTTCCGAATAAATTAACATTGGAAAATTGGCCGCGCACTTGTGCTTGCAGTAAGTAGAAACGGAAAGCAATGACCAGACACATTAACGCGATAAGTGTCGAGTCGGGCACACGTGAGTGACACTAATGTCTTCCTAGGTTTCGAAATTAATTGTAATCTGTTTAGAATGTAAAAGAGTTAAAATAAATTATTCTGCGTGATAGGTTTTAATGTTTGCTTTTGGTTTAGTTCATTAAATTACCTTGAATTTGCGGACATTTTTGGAGTTGATTTTCGACGCTCAACGCGTTAACCAAGCTGATCATTGACAATTTTTTCGACAATAAGCAGAGATACGAATATATTCTGCTCAATGCTTTGCGCTTATCTTTTACGCCCCATTCTGTGTATTTATGACACCAGGTAATTAAAGAAGTAATTATAGAAACAATTTTAGTAATTGAATTTCCAGCTGCCGAACAGCAAAATATTTTCTGTTGAAATTGTATGGATTTCTTTTTCGATGGTACAACCTGTGCAAGCTTCACCCTCCCGAATTATTTATTGATCTGAGACTACCATCCCCTAGTTGCGTTATTATATTACACCCCAAAGCCCATCGCAATCGACGGGGTCCCAGGTTTCTGGAAACAGGATAGGCGCACCTTCTAAGGATTCCGGTTCCTCCCCCATGTAATTGGACAATAATTAAGTTGGGCGCGCCGCTTTTTGTCGAGGCTCGCCGAAAGCTCTTGTCCCCAGATAATCGCTTTGTCAGACCTCGTCGAATACGTCAACTCGTCGATGCGTGCAGTGCCCTGACGATAAATTCTGATAAATTAATTATAAGAGACTAGAGATGCAGAGCGATTAATTTTGAGAAATATTCTGCTATGAAGAAATATTGTATTTTAAGACAAGTAACCCTGTATTCTTTGAGGGGTTCATATCTTAATTTTGAGATTCTGGAAAAAATAGAGAACGTCCCCGAAGACATAATCAACGAGAACAATTTTTTTTATAATAATTTCTCGTGGAAGGAATGATATATTTTCAATATTCTGTAACTCAAGAAATCGAAGGGCGTTGCCTTCAATTTTTTTAGAGTTCGTATCTTATTTCAGGCGTTTCAGAAAAATTGATACCGACGTCGGGGTCAAGAAAAAATGTTTTAAAAATGTTCGAACAAATATTCTTCCCGAGAGAAGCAATATTATTTGTAATATCGTGTGATTTAAGGACACATTCCGCAGTTCAACGTTTGATGTTCAGAGAGTTGACATTTTATTTGATGCATTTCAACAAATTTCTGAAAAATTCACGCCGATCCTAAAGACGAAGAAAGACGCTTTAAAAATATTCAATCCGAAGCGGACAATATATTTCGACATTCGGTGTGTCAAGAGATGCCCAGTGAATGTTTGACAGGTTCATATTTCATTGAGCACGGCTCCTAAAATTTACACCGATCCCAAAGACCTAAGCTGCAACAAATTTCCAAGAGAGCTATGGTTCTACGCGAAAGTAGCCGCTCAGTTTTATTACTTTGTTACGGTCAACGACCGGCTTCAGTCAGCTTTTTCTGCTTAATATTTCACTGGCAACGTTCCCGGCGAAGTTTGTGCGGGCGGCGCAGCCAGAATGGAGGAACGGTGTAATTTTCGGCGGTAAAACGGTACAGATCGTAAATCGAGAGGCAAGGGTGAGGGTAGTAAAAGCGAAGGGCAGCCCCGGTCTCCTCGGCGAACGAGGTTGAAGGTATCCGACTGCGGCATAGTCGTATCGATTCCAGTCGAGCTTACGCTGCCGCCACTGCAAAATCTCGAGATGTTGACAGGTTGGATCCTGGATCGTTTTACCAGCGCCGGTTTTTCTCTGTGTTTCAGGGTGAAAGGCCATCCGAGCTCATCCAGCCATGACGAAGTATTGGCTGAACGTGGCCCTCCTCAGGGTCGTTCTACCGGTTGTCCTGACAGGATGTAAGTGTTCGATGAAATGAGAATATGTCGCCTGTATCGGTTTCTTGGCTGTCGAACCTGGTTTGCAACGGCGACACCGTCTCCCTCGTCGAAACGAGATATTTCCGGGTTCGGTTTTCACTGGAGACACTGCGGTATTGTGTCAGCCGCACCGTGGAATCGTTTTATTGACGGGGACTCTGACAGGTGGCACGCGCCGACTAAAAATAGCATCGTTCGATTTTCTAATTGATTATTAGGCCAGAGTCCATTCTATTCCCGAAAGCCTTCAGTAATATTATTTATTGAGGTTCCGAACTTTGTTCTAACCGATTATGCTACGATATCGTGCCTAACTGGTTGCGAGGATCTCGAACATGATCTACCAAGTGTACAGTGCACCACAAAAGTGATCGTACACCTGAAATGTAATAACTTCTTTAAAACTCAGCTAAATGACTTGAATTTCTTTTAGATGAAAGAGGGACTAATTTATTAGATAATGAATAAAATGCTTTTTTTAAATTTTGCTATTGCTTGGGATGACAAAAGAGATAAAAACTCTCGTTTTTTATCCGTTTTGTGGGCCACTGTAGATGTTACTCGTGTCTTTAAAGTCGAAATAAAATTCTACCTATTTATTAACAATATTTCAACGTTAAACTAAAGCTTGGTGTGCAATGAATATAAATTATCTGTCTCGCCTAGGAATTTATTAGCGAGGAACTAGAAAAACTTGATTATTTTCTTCCAAAAAATAATTTCAGAAGAACTTCTTATATTATATCAATTTAAATAATTTGACAGATTACGAATGAGATTATGAATTTTTGACGAATCTCTTAAACTGACTTCCAAGCTTAGAAACGATTATAATCAAACGAAATGAGTGCTGTCAATTAGCAACTTCTTAATGTCGAGCAGTTTGTAGTAATAATAATAACTGTTATTAACGATACTACACGAGTGAGACTTGTGTCACGTTTATTTTAGAAACAGATATCTATTGGCTCCTGTTTGAAAGCTTGTGTTACAGTTCGAAAGCGCCAATCGTTACACTGTTATCAATAAGCAGATGCCGGGAAACTTGGCGTGACGTTGTCAAGCGATAAAACCGGCACCGATAAGTAGCCAATATTATGTCAGCGTTTAGAAACAGAACGGGAATATTTTCACAAACGCGGACAGTCTTGTGGATTGTAATGATAAAATAATGACAGATAAAATAACCCTCGTGACATCAGTGTACTAAAATAGTCGATGTTTTGGACCGACTAACGACCTCGGCTCTCGCGTCCATCCTGCTCGCGTCGAGTTAATCGTGAGAAACTGGAAACAGTATGTGGGTCCCAAGGTGGAAACCAGAAATAGGAGAATAATTGATCGAGAAGCAGAGAAACTATAATACTTCTCCGACATGTCATCCATCATCTCCGGATTGCGAATTCTTAAGGAGAACAAAAACTTCGCGAACAATTCATTACCGCCTTTGCACTCTCTTTTCGCTAGAAATGGTTCTTTTTACATAACAAATAGTTTACAAGCGAATCCAGGCGATACAGTTAAATGATTCAACCAGTACATAGATTTTTTCGCAAATAAGAAAACGTCAACAAATTTCCTGGTTATTATTATCGAGAGATAAAATTGATACTAAGAATTGAGATGTCGGCCACTCCGTTGCCGTGCGACGTTTAATAATGCCATTAATTATCAGTGCTTTATCACGAGGCCGCATATGCTAGATCGTGCCACGATGCGTCACATTCAGCCATTGGAAACGTTTCTGCGTCTCTGCGAAGGACATCGATCATTCTATTCGGCACCGGACAAACGTTCCTTCCAATCTAATAATCGAAATTCTATTGATCCTAATTTAGTCTAATCCTATTTTATCTGTCACGCTGTTTCATTCGTCTCAAATTATTTTACTCTCGCTGGCTTCAACGTAGAGCTCAGCATGATTCATTTTATCGATCACTAGACTGCGGATCTTTATGCGCATTCTCAGTCTCCTACGTCATTTCACAAAAATAAGGATTGATAAATCGTGTCCATCGTTGTCTAAAAGATCGTTCAGTGTAGAAATGAAATATAGATGCTAGTGCACTTGTTAATTTATGTCATATTATATTATATTATATTATATTATATTATATTATATTATATTATATTATATTACATATTATATTACATATTATATATTATTATTATTATAATTCTCTTTCAACTCTTTGTTCACTTAACACGTTAAGTACCGAATATCAATTCAAAAAATTACCATGACGTCAAAGTCGTTGAATAAATGTAACCGAAATTACAAAGTTAAAATTTACCATAGGAAATATTAATTTGACGCTTTTTCGTTCGAAAAATCGTAGTAACATTCAGCTTGTTCAATATATTACTCAACATTATTATTCAATATTATACCAGCGTGTTAACGTGGACTCTTAGTTCTCAATTAGTTCCCGATTTCCAAACAGAAAATTGCAACCACGAAACTATTGTATAAAGCAGTTTTAAACGCGTTCGCAACTATTGGAAACACGATAGAAGTGCGCCGAAGTTCGCGAACTCCTTCCAGAGACAATGGACAATTAATTTCACGGATCAGCCGGCCACGAGGAAATTAATAGCCGGCTCCCGGGTGCGCCGAATGAAAAATGAGCTTTCCGAACGCGGTCGGAAGTTCGTCCAGCATGTGTACACAGATAAATTTCGAGACAGTGCGTCGTCGGGATGCCGGTATGACAGCGTCGGGACGCGCGGTTCAGTCTCGGTTTACAGGCGTCGTCTATAATTAGGTGAGCACCGGCTCCTGAATTCCAGGTTTACTGTCACTTTGATGCGAAATACTCTCCGGTGGCTCGACGACATACTTTCGAACTTTATCAACACGTCGATCGCGTCGACGGCGGCGCCCGTTCAAATGAAAAAGACCGCGGAATTGCTATTCGCGCGAGCAGGAATTTTCTCTTTCCGCGGCAATTTCGAAGTTTTCTTTGATCAGGTGACCCGAATCACCCGGCATAAAAATGGAAGAATTACGGCGCCGCTGTACGTGCTATCGTTATCGCTCCAGTTATCGTCTCGCGGTGGCCGAACGGAGTAATTAGCTGTCCGCGCGCGGTCTCTGCCATTAACGAGGTCGCGTTAGAAAGCCGCGGGGAAATAGTTTTTGAAAATCCGGCTCCATTTGATGCACGATTATCCGAATATTAGCTGACTGTCCGACTCGATTACGCGCCGGCCTGATTGGAAATTAATTGGCCTTTTAACTGCGAATGACTTCAATGAATTCGTCACTCGGTTCAGCTATCGGAAACACATTTCTTGAGCTAATTCAATCGCGAAGAATGAAATGAAACGATTTATAGGTGCAGGAATTGTTTGATGAGATTGGTTCCGGATACGAGAAGAAATAACTGCAGCGTGAACTGCGAAATGCAATAATGTAAATGCAGCGAGAAAAAGTGCGACCGAAATGCATTNTTATGTCATATTATATTATATTATATTATATTATATTATATTATATTATATTATATTATATTACATATTATATTACATATTATATATTATTATTATTATAATTCTCTTTCAACTCTTTGTTCACTTAACACGTTAAGTACCGAATATCAATTCAAAAAATTACCATGACGTCAAAGTCGTTGAATAAATGTAACCGAAATTACAAAGTTAAAATTTACCATAGGAAATATTAATTTGACGCTTTTTCGTTCGAAAAATCGTAGTAACATTCAGCTTGTTCAATATATTACTCAACATTATTATTCAATATTATACCAGCGTGTTAACGTGGACTCTTAGTTCTCAATTAGTTCCCGATTTCCAAACAGAAAATTGCAACCACGAAACTATTGTATAAAGCAGTTTTAAACGCGTTCGCAACTATTGGAAACACGATAGAAGTGCGCCGAAGTTCGCGAACTCCTTCCAGAGACAATGGACAATTAATTTCACGGATCAGCCGGCCACGAGGAAATTAATAGCCGGCTCCCGGGTGCGCCGAATGAAAAATGAGCTTTCCGAACGCGGTCGGAAGTTCGTCCAGCATGTGTACACAGATAAATTTCGAGACAGTGCGTCGTCGGGATGCCGGTATGACAGCGTCGGGACGCGCGGTTCAGTCTCGGTTTACAGGCGTCGTCTATAATTAGGTGAGCACCGGCTCCTGAATTCCAGGTTTACTGTCACTTTGATGCGAAATACTCTCCGGTGGCTCGACGACATACTTTCGAACTTTATCAACACGTCGATCGCGTCGACGGCGGCGCCCGTTCAAATGAAAAAGACCGCGGAATTGCTATTCGCGCGAGCAGGAATTTTCTCTTTCCGCGGCAATTTCGAAGTTTTCTTTGATCAGGTGACCCGAATCACCCGGCATAAAAATGGAAGAATTACGGCGCCGCTGTACGTGCTATCGTTATCGCTCCAGTTATCGTCTCGCGGTGGCCGAACGGAGTAATTAGCTGTCCGCGCGCGGTCTCTGCCATTAACGAGGTCGCGTTAGAAAGCCGCGGGGAAATAGTTTTTGAAAATCCGGCTCCATTTGATGCACGATTATCCGAATATTAGCTGACTGTCCGACTCGATTACGCGCCGGCCTGATTGGAAATTAATTGGCCTTTTAACTGCGAATGACTTCAATGAATTCGTCACTCGGTTCAGCTATCGGAAACACATTTCTTGAGCTAATTCAATCGCGAAGAATGAAATGAAACGATTTATAGGTGCAGGAATTGTTTGATGAGATTGGTTCCGGATACGAGAAGAAATAACTGCAGCGTGAACTGCGAAATGCAATAATGTAAATGCAGCGAGAAAAAGTGCGACCGAAATGCATTTGTGCAACGTGGGAGCGCTTAATGGGTTAATTATGTGGATAATTACTTTATCGTGTTATGTCATCGGTCAGCGGATTTGCATTTGCTGCAAGAATTGATAAGAGAACTTCAAAACACTGTTACATTATTTTCAATTTGTTAGAGCTAGTGAAAGTACGGATACATTTTTAATTAACTCTCGTTTCATAGAGTTATCGAACAAAAGTTTCATTTTGCGTGCATTGAAGTAGTATTCTGGTTATGCCAATGTTGTTTGCCTCGTGTTCCATTTTCATAAGCATTCGTAATTAAGAAATCATGTGATTAAAAGATATTTCAATTATTATTTGCGATATTTTAACTATTATTTCAACTATTATTCAGTTATCGGAAAATCTGTCTTTCTTCTGCAATTATGTTACAGTTTGTTTCACGAGTATGAAGTATAAGATCATAAATGAAATACGATCGATGAAACGCAAGGGCGCAAAAACGATAAAACGAATTTCAGCCGAGAACCTTTAGCGGAATCGCTTCCAGGGATTTTCCCTGTAGAACGCGAGAGAGAATCGAGCCTGGCCATTTTCCCAGAGTTGAAACGCGGATAATACGGAACCGAGTTTCCTTGGCAGCTTAACAAGCTTTTCGTTTGTATATACTAAACAGACTCCGAATAGAAAGCGTTTTCGTCGATGGAAATGAAAGGGAAATGGGACGAGCTCGCCAAACGAACCTCGTGGATGCTTCAATTTCAGATGCAAACCGCTGACCGATCGAAATCAAAAGGAACGATAAAAACGCAAACACACGTGTTTCCTTTGAATAGGCTCATTAAGGGATTAATCAACTTAACACCTCCCCGCGGGACAGAAGCAATTACCTCGACCGGCTCCATTTAATTACGCGTGCACGTGTTTTCTCTGTATATCCATGATTCACGGCTTATCAACGCGGACTCGAGCCAGCTACGAGGCGCGGCCATAAATCTAAGCGAGTGTTCCGAAAGTTCGCGAATCGTCGAAACACGTCTCGGGATTCGGGGAAGTCTGAAATGTCAAACCTTATTGTTCGCGGGGGCTCGCTGACCTTTTAACGAGTGGGCGATTCTTTCTCCCAGATCCTGATTACGCCGGAATGAATGCATTTGTACGGTACGGTGGATATCGTTTGGGAAAGGTCATAACCTGGGATTGCTTGGGAGATTGTAGGCGAGTCGCAGTTATTGTTGAACGATGATTAAAACTGCAGGCTTCGGTCGACAGACAGAAAATGCAGACGACTGTAGAATTTTCTTTCGCTGAAATTATGACTGAAAAATTAATCAATGCGTATGCGCGTGTGTGTTTTTGTGTGTCGTTTAATTGGAACAGGTACGATATGGCGACCCGTGGGACTGTCGCTGGTCTACTTGGGCCTAATGCTCTACTCGCCACATGTTCCGATACCAAACACGAAGACCATGGCCGGTCACACTGGCCTGTATCTGAAGACCGCCATTGGCCTGTCGTTTCTCACCGCTATCAGCCAAATCACCTTCCACATAGTCTTGCTGTCGCTGCCAGCTTATGGACACTTCCTCCACAATTGTACGTAATCAACCTCTTTTGCGACGGAATCCATCGATTATCCATTAAAATGCTATTTCTGTGACCGAGCTGTTCTCTGGAAGAACAGAATCTGAAATGGAAACTGATGCAACATCTGCCAATTCGGATTGAAGATTCGCAATTCTAAGTTTTAGAAGCTTTACACACTTCTGATCTAAATAAAAAAGGATTTTAGTCGAACCCTTTGATGCATCTTGCATTCTTAATTTGACAATTATCTGCTGTCCAAGGTCGACTCCCCACCATAAGGCACTTGGGTTACCCCCTCCGATCTTCTATTGGTCAAGGAAGGCGGAGTCAAGCAGCGTGGAGGAGATGCGACCTTGAAGCTAACTTCATTAAAGCACTGTTAACCAATTAGTTGTTTTTCGACGAGTATTCTCGTCGCGAAGGGATGGCAACAGTTTATGTCACGACGAGTATACTCGTCGGAAACTGCTCTCTGATTAAGTCAAATAAATAAATAAATGTTAGAAGTAAAAGATTAGAAAATAAAATAGTAATTTTATTGGAACTTAATTCTTAATTTTCATAGAGATTGCAACAACTGTTTAATCGTGTCTCGAACGCTTCCAGGCGAGTTGCTGGAGCTAGTGTGCAGACACTTAGGCTTCGTGAGGCTAGATAGCGCGTCCGCGTGGGAGGTGTTCTTTTGGCTGATCCCAGAAGTAATTGTCTTACCGAGCACCGTCGCGATCTACTGCATCTGTCGCTATTTAACGAAGAAGCCCGTGACTGACGTGGAAGATGACGTCTCCGTCAGGGGAGCCGCGGCGTCCAAGAAGGCTGAAGACAGCACCGCGAAGGTTAGACCTGCGTTCTGACCTTGTCCAACAATTCTTAGCTCTTCGACGTTCGCACCTACGAATCCGTCGCTTAAATCTTCCAACAGATAATCAATTTCCTGGGACGTATCGGGACATACTTGATCCTGGCCTCGTTGTGCATCGTGTCGTCCTTGAACCCATCCATAGAAGCTGGCTTTTACTTCTTGGTGTTCCTTGGAGCGGCCACCTGGTGGGCCTGCAACAAGGAGCTGAGGAAAGGCTTCGCGATGTTGTGCAGACTCGTGATGATCGTCGTGGTCCTCCACATCCTGACGCTGCTCAGCTACCAAAACCAAGTTCCCCAGGAGCTGGTCCCGGTGAACAGCACCTGGCAGCGTTACCTGGGCCTCTCGGCGATCTATCAGACGAACTGCAGCGATCCTAGGAACGTGGACTACACGGACGACGCCGATTGGCTGGTCTACGCCTACTGTCTTCGGCTGTTCTGGCTCTACTATGTCTTGGCGCTGCAGGCGAAGTTCCTGAGCCAAAAGCCGGTGAGTTTGCCTTCCCCGGCGTTGCTCCGTATGTTAGACTAATCGATCTTGAAGGGTTGTAACTGAGATAAATGAGATCGAGGAGTCCCGAGGAATTTGCCAGGTTCAAGGAAGAACATTTGCCAGCATGATTATACTGATCCATGATCGAGCATTGCTCAGAGAAAGTTTCGCTGGGAAGTTCACTTCCTCGTTCAACGATCGAAACTTTCTTCGAACACTGTGCAACAATTAATCCAATCCTCTTGGTACTCCCCTCAAATGAACAACGATTTCAACTGTCTATTTGCCTGTATTAACGTGTCCACGGTTGAGGAGAACCATTAACACCAGTGTCGCCTCAATAACACAATTTCTTAAGCTTCCTTGTGTCAGTCTCTCGACTAACCGTTTACGGACACGATGATTAACACAAACTGTGCCCAGTTCCGAGGGACGTCGCTTTTACTAACAAGGCGTTGCAGGCTAAGAAAATGAAACGTTTGAGCGGCAGGCTGGAGAATCTGGACACTCCGTTGTCCAGACACGTTTCCATCAGGCGAAGGACGCCCTCCCAGAGGTGGCAATCGGCGCGGCGAAAGGCTCGCGTAAGGATCTCGTCCTGCATGAGCCAGATAGTCGACATTTTTCTCTTGGACACATTGTTTAGATCTTTATGTCAGTTTATGGAGAGTCTCGTATTTGCTCTGGTAGACCGTAGCAGACGTGTTGACTGTAAATTTCGTTGTCATCGGACACTTCAGTTATCCTTTCTGCGACTTTTTACGATTATACCGTGGATCTTCATAACACAAAATGCAAGAAAATTATGCACATGCATTTCATTTCTTTAATACAAGATTATTTTTCTTTAACGCTAAGCCCACTGAGCCCAACATTATTCAGACGATTTTTGTTACAACAGTCTTTATAGTTTCAGCAACTTTTAGGTAAAAGATGCGAAACCGGACATTTTCATTGGCTGAATGGGCTTAGGCGTTAACGATAGAAATCCTCTTTTCCGTTTTTATACATTAATTTCTGAACATATGAATTTGCACGAAGGTCCAAAATCTTGTGATGATGATCCAACGTGTAGATTTCTTGCAGTGACGTAAATCCAAAGTAGAAATAAAATTAATAAAAATCAGTCGAATAACTTTAATTGTATATTATACAGTTAAAGTTATTATTATTGTACGATCAAAGTATCGGTATAACTGTAGTTGTTCATTCAACTTGAATGTTTTGAAGACGAATGTTCCCAAACGTAGACGAGATCGCAAGTTGTATCATCATGGCATCTTATAGAATATTCGTGACTTCTGTAAAATAGTGAACTCTACTGTAAATAGTTCGAAGCATCTACTGGGAATGGTTATGTTAATGTACAGAGAAAACCGTGTACAGTGTTAACGAATGTTTTCAACGCCCCTTCAGGTAACATCCGACTTTTGATTTTGCTGTCGCATTCCAGATTTCTGGTTGTTCATTAACGCTGAGCAAATTCGTTTTCCGTTTGGATGCCGCTATGTTTAGTTTGCCATTGTTTTAGACGCCGATCGTAAATTCGTCGTTTCCACCGGCCGACGAGCGCACACCCGTACGTATAACGATTAAGTTTGCATGTTTGATTATCGCTGCGGTCACTGCTAACACCGAATACACACGGATCACTTATAATAATCGACGAGGGCCGATATCTCGCATGCGTCGACGCTCGAGCGATCGTTACGATTTTTCTTTCCAACACTTTTGTTCTATACACTTCCGTTCTTTTCTGAAAATCGTTCTCGCTAGTGGTGGAGGTAAACAACACAATTTTTCACGTAGCTTGCATGTGTTTTATCCAAGATCTTGATACAGTCTTCTCTATGGGGGAATCGTGAGAGTAGATTTATAGAGTTAGTTGTAATTCTCTCGGCACGCATCAACAACAGAGTTATGTTTCGTAAATAGCTGATGAGGTTCGGGTCCGCGAGAACGGGGCTCCTGCAGGACTCGACGGGAAGCGTCATCGTTCAGGATGGTCATCAGGATGACAGCATCCAGATGCACAGTATCAGTGACGGTAAGACAAAGACAAAAAAAAATTAACCCCAATGATATCCAGCTTAGAGAAGATTAATTAATATCCGAGTAATTTTCTTCTCTTCAGGAGGCGCGGATGAGCAGTCCGGAATCATCGAGGGCATCATCATGGCCGTCTACTCCATCTTCCAGTTGATAATCAACTCGTCCTACCTTGCTACGAACATCATAATGATGGTACGAATACACAGCTGAACAACCTCTTGGTCTCTTCAAGTAGTCTGGATTAACCGTTTCACTCGTCAGACTTGGAGCATAATGTACCACAGCTGGACAACCTTCGCTCTTCTTTTGTGGGCCCTGATTCTCTGGATGGTGCCCAACAAGCGCGCATCCATGATGAAATGCTCGCCCTTCATAGTGTTCTATGCGACCCTCCTGCTGCTCGGCCAGTTCATTTACAGCATGGATTTGACTGATGCGGAATTGCCGACGCAGATAAACGGAATGAAGATGTCGGAGATCGGATTCAGCAAGCCCCAAGAGCTCAGTCGCTGGCATTTAATAGTCAAGGTACGAATTCTCGCGTGTAGACCGCTCAGGGCTGCTTTCCTCGCTTATGACAACGTCGGTAACGCCTGTCAACGCTACATCGAAGTTTGAATAATCTTTCGGCGGCCTTGGACGATCTGCCAATCCTGAACTAGCAATTATTATCACGTATTCACTTCATGGAGCCTTAAACTCGATATTCCAGTGCCTCTTCATAACAATGTTCTGGATAACAATGAGACAATACACCGCCGAGAGAACTCGCCAGAGACGATCCTCGGCACTGAGAGACATGGTGGCGCCGTTGCACGTCTCCGTGTCGACTGCCACCACAGCGATGAACCACGAAGTGCCAGAAATCAAGAGCAAGTTCATGAAAGACGTTGGAATACTCTTGAAGAAGCTGCTGACCAAGTTCTGGATCGCCGTGGTAGCAATCATGCTGTTCATCTGTGGGATCACTGGGGAACGCATGACCATGTTCAGGATCGTCTACATGTCCCTGTTCCTTGTGCTCGTCATTACCTTCCAGGTAGGCCCCAAGCGAAGATTTTCGTCTCTTCCGTAGCAGATAGTCTTTCGAGAATGATGCAGAGAACCTGCGATAACATCGTTCCGCAGATGTCCTGGTACTTGTGGAGGAAGATGATGTACACGTTCTGGCTGACGGTCATCGGCTACTCGGTGATCATGCTGATCCTCGTGTACACTTACCAGTTCGACAACTTCCCAGAATATTGGAACTACCTGCACATCGACGAAGACCTGCAAATGGACATCGGCCTCGAGAAATACGCGACGAAAGACCTGTTCGTCAGACTGCTGACGCCAACCTTCTTCGTCATCATCACTGTTCTACAGATCCATTACTTCCACAAAGATTTCTTGGAGGTGACGAACATCGAGAGAGTTGGGTAAGCGATGATCGAGAAGGCAACGCGAATTTAACGTGGATCTTAATTCGGATCGTCCGGCGGTTTTTTCAGAGCCGGGGAGAGTCCTCTCAGGCAAGAGACTACAAATCACTCTACGACCTTGAACATGCCGCGAACATCGGCTGGCGACGTCTTCCTGACTACGGAGGATGACCAGGACAATCGATACAGTCTTCAACAATTGAAACGTAAGTTTCAATGAATCGTTTAATCGATTAATTAGACCTGTTAACATGATAACCTGGCATTCAGGGATGTCGAAGATAGAGAGAATTGCCCTGTTCCGCAAGATAATGAAGCACCTAGTGAATTTCTACAACTACGTCTGGCTGTTCTTCGAGCTCCACATGCAGAAGATCATCTTCACCACTGTCATGCTTCTATGCGTGAACGACGTAAGTTGCAATTAACCAAATTGTCCCTAACTAAGGATCGATCGTCACCTAGTTTCGATTCTTCAGGTATGCGCCATCAATCTCGTGTTCGTCGTGATAATAGCGATAATGCTGAACACCAAGAGGAACGTTCAAATACTTACCGCGAATATGATCGCAGTGGTGATCGCCTTCTTGATAGTGCTGAAAATGCTCTACCAGATCCAATACATCGATCCCAACAATTGGAACGTCAATTGCACTGTGAGCACCCACGGATCAGTGTTAACGATCCACTATGCGATGAGCTAATTGTTTTATCGTTGACAGAGGCCGGAGGATGATAAGCAGATCCCCTTCGCCAGCAACAACACTGTCTACAACATAGCGGAGTGGTTCGGCTTGAGGAAAGCGGAGCCAGGACACCTGGCAGAGCTGTTGAAAGGGTACATAGGGATCATGGTAGTGACGACTCTGCGAAAGGTCATCAGAATTCGGCAGTGTTTCCATCGGAAGGAGATCGGAGAGCCTCTGGAGACGCCTCAAGTGATGTTCCCGTCAATTACCAGGGCAGACGCTGACAAAGGGCTGCCGGAATGCATCAAGTTCCTCTTCAACTACGGATTCTATAAGTTCGGCGTGGAACTGAGCCTGATCGGGATCGTGGCGCTCATTGGCACGAGGCTCGACTTTTATTCGGTCCTCTACAGCATCTGGCTTCTGCTGTTGTTCTCCTTGAAGAGGAGGACTATATCCAGGATATGGCCGATCTTCAAGGCCTTCGCTGTCATCCTGCTGCCTGTGCAGTATTCCCTGGTCGTTGCTCTGCCTTCTTGGCTTTGTATAGGTTGTTCAAATTTTCATACAATTCGCAATAATTTAATAAAGTTTCCAAGCGCTGCAACCATACATTTTCAGACTATCCCTGGAGCAATTCGGAGATGCTCAGGAGGCTGCAGGAATGGATGTACTTCCCGGATCCCGACTTCCCTCCCAATCCCAGGAAATTAATGTGTGAGTCCTCATCTTATTTAGAGCAACCTTTCGAACGAGTTGTCCTGGTCCACGTAATTCGAAGAATTGTTATATAAAATTGATAACTCGCTTTCCTTCAGGCGACTTCATTCTGCTGATGATGCTGGTCAGACAAAGCCTCTACTTCCGCATCGAGCAACGATACGCTGCACAAGCCGATGAGTTCCATGGCGGTCACAATTACTCTGTCCACCAGAACATGGAGAAGCCGAACTTCGTGAATCCTGTGAAGGATTACGTTTCTCTCATACACTCGTGGCTGGACATCGTGAAGAGAGGCGTGCTGATGAGCCTGATGTGGGTCACTCTGTCGATCATGTTCCTGGCCGGAACGAAGAGGACGAATCTGTTCTCGTTAGGCTACCTGATCGGCGCCTTCGTGTTCCTCTGGCAGGGCAGCGATTTCTACTTGAGGCCGGTCAAAACGATCTTAAAATGGTGGAATATATTGATCGGGTACAACGTGGTCGTCATCTTCCTGAAGGCTGTGCTCCAGGGAGTCGGCTGCGTGCTGATCAAGAAGGTAGATCGATTGCTCCTCGGTTCAACCTTCGGGGAAATTAATTAGCCAATGTCTGTCGTCTTTCAGCTCGTGGTTTCAGCTTGCCCGGTGATCCAGCTATTCGGCATCACTTGTCTGAGGAAGTTCGAAAGCTCTGCCAGCGACATAGTGCCTAGCAACGTGGACTGCGAAGTCCCCAGAGAGGACATCGGCATGGTCTGGGACGGTCTATGCTTCGGCTTCCTGCTGCTGCAGAAACGACTCTTCAAGAGCTACTACTTCTTCCATATAGTCGACGAAACGAAAGCCATGAGCGTCTTAGCGTCTCGTGGAGCTGAACTCCTGGAAGAGCTGCACCATAAACGCATCGAGATCCAGGACGGGGTCGAGAAGAACGTGCTGCAGAAGCTGAAGTTCAAGATGGACAAGATCAAAGCCAGCCAGAGGAAGATACAGGGTCCTAGTTACAGGGAACCGCAGACTCATAAAGTTGGTAAGTGGCGAAATCCAGTGGTCTTCGTTTCTGATAGGATAGGGACAGTCGAGAAAGTCAGAGACTTCGTAAAACCTCGTCTGAAGTATAATTCTTCAAATATCTTCTGAGAATTGATGCCTTCGATTTGACACCCACGATCCTGGGAACTTTGGGTCCTCCTTCGACGAGTCCTGTCTCCTACGAGTGCTTAGACCCTAATTCCTGGGAATCCGTCAGATCTCGAGTAGATATCCCTTAGACCCTAAATCCTGGCCCTAAATCATCCAGACCTTAACTTCTCCGGAGGTCTTCAAACTCCAATTTCCGGTTCCTAAACCTCAACACCTGGGAGTCCTTTGGATTCTATTATCTTGGGGTCCTCTGTATCCTACTTTCTGGGTGTCCTCAGAACCTAATTTCGAGGACTTCCTCGAAAATTCCTCTCCCCGTGAATCATCCAGCAGGAAAAGATTGTAGGGCACCCAGCCGACGTCTCGCGACCTAACACCGACTCTCTATATTTAATGCTCCCGCAAAAAAGAAGGCGAGGCGCCTCTGGCGAGGTCTTCCAGTGTGAGCTCATGCGTGTCCTCAAATCACACGCCTCCTCAAGGTTACCAGACGCCGATCGACGAGGACGACGACGAGCCGCCGCCGCTGACGCCGCGCGCCGCATCCCTATTGCAGGCGCCGACCCCAAACTCCGCGGTCATGACAGTCAGCCTCGAGGGCTATCTCGAGCCGACTCGAATTTCTTTCGGTTCTCCACCAAGTAGCGAGCTGAACCCCCGTGGACCGTCGCCGGACGAAACGTTCCCGGTGTTCTCCCCTCCGCCGTACGATCGACAACCGCCCGATCGATCGCTGAACTCCTCGGTCAGGCATCGCAGACAGTCGAGCTACTTCGGTCCGCAATGGGTGAACGAGATCCAGACGCCTAGGCAGTCGATCGTCTCCACCACGTCCCGATCCCCGCGGTCTCATCACACATGTAACGACACACAACCGGGATCAAGATCGTCGTCGTCGATCTGCTACGATGTCCTGTACATACGCTTCCGCCGACTGCACCTCTAGATCATCTACGATGCACCCATTATTCTGGTCTCTTTTGTTTTTTCTTCATCTGTACTGGGCTGGGTGTTGGCTGATCAAACTGGTTCAAAATGGTCTATTGTTCTTGGACAAACGCGTGTGTATTTCGTTTGAGAACATATCTGTTTCTCTGGAGCTTTCAGAGAAGGGACATGTTACCCTTGGATACTTGAACAGTGTTCTTCTTCAATACATTGTTCAGTGCCCATGTAATAAATTTTGGGGCATGTCACACTGTTAGACGCGTCTTTAAAACGCACCAAGTATACTAGTTATATCAGATCGTTAGGTGAAGAACTGTATATCTGTTCCTTTAGAATCTTTAGGAAAGGGGATTATTACCTTTAGGCAGTTTATTTGAACAGTATGCTTTTGAATAGATTATTTAAAATCTCTTCAATAAATTGGAGACAGACGTGTCACTCTTAGACACTTATATGAAATGTATCCTCATGGAACGGATAATTCAAAATCCTTTTTCGAGGACCTAGATACTGAACTAAGAGGATATTTTTATTAGAACAGGGAAAAAGTTTATTACCCTAAGTGAGGGGACGACCTTGGCCAGCCAACACCCGCAACGCCCGTTACTTCTTCGATTTCCAAAGTCTCTTGACTTCTATACAGAGAATTGTACCAAACCTTCGAGACTGATTCCTTCGGAACCTCTTTCTGTTCGAGTATGATTTTCGTTGTCTGCTTTCGTCCAATTTCTACCGATCTCTGTTCGATGTCGTGTCTAGAAGATAGGTGTAAATACCATTGTGCAACAACTAGAGACGTTCTCAGTTTCCGTTCTGTACATTCTTTGATTTAGACTCCCGCATTGCGTCCTTCCCACTTCATCACCGCCCAGCCCCTCTTTAACGACCTGTTTTACAGCGAGCAACGGGGTTCTCTAAGCCCAGATATCTGTATTTTCCTCCGACAGATCCGTTCCGTTGAACCTGGCGGGGACCGGAGGATACGGCCGACCGATCTCGGTGTAACATAGACGTATACTGTTGTAAGATACAATTCCATGTACGCGCGGACGACATCCCCCCACACCGTCTTCTTTCAGTTCTCTGTCTCTACTTTTCTGTTTTTCTTTTCTGTTAGATACTCTCTATCCAGGGGCACGGCCATTGTACAGAGTTCGCGCGCCAAAGACCAACAGAGAGGGTAAATGAATATACTTTTCTTCTCTCCGCAGCTTGTCAACCGGGCTTTAATCCTAAACGACGTCTTCCACACATCCCTGACTAACCGTCCTTCTGCTTTTACAGAACTCCACACCTGTAAATAATTTTCTTTTGTACACTGTTAATATTATCGTTTAGCGAAACGGTGGACGCACATTCGACAGGCTTTCAAGGCAACTCTGCCACCCCCTCCTACAACCCCACCATCCCCCGTGTTGACACGCATATGGTGGAGGGACAGTCCTATAAGATGGCCTTGAACCGCCGATTCAGTTTGCGTCTACTCCTCTATAACAGAACTTATAATTTGTCGTGTGTCTGTGGCGTGTGCAACCGACCAACGTCTACGAGTCTAACCGATGTATATTATTGACCATTTAGCGATAGATTATTGGGACAACGTTCTTTTTTTTCTAAGCAGTGCTATTACACGTGTATAACAAAACGGTGCATGGCTTTGGCAGTACGACTGTGTGTGCGCCTGTGCTGGCTCCGTACAAGCTGACAGGGTTTTCTGTTTTGGCCAGCCATACGGTCCGGAGATTACTATATGTTCGACGATCTGGACGACGACGACGTCACTGACATGATCCCGGACACCGAGTCCGAGAAGGAGGAGCGGGGACGCCGTCGCGAGCAGGAGCAACGTGGTCGCAGAATGACCATATCCGAAGTACGTACACCCTCGAAACGATCGAGAACGATTGCCGCGTGAGTACGGTTACAAGCCGAACTGTACGCTCTGAAATCTCACTGTACGATTTTCTGGTTTGTCCGCTGCGAGTTTATCGGCCAAGCAAACAATGACTAATAACGAATCCGGATCGCTTGATCAGCAAAATTCTTGACGACACACCCGGGGACGTTCATCGGTTTACTTGATCCAATCTCGGGACGACTCTGCCAAACAAGCTGAGACTCGGCTAACCCTCTATAAAAACCGAAATTTGTTCAAGCTCGAACGTGGGCTGCGACTTGAAACTGCGTTCAAAAGTATTAGCTGGACAGGGTTATAGCTCCGCTTCTGTTGTAGATAGAAGAAAATTGCACCGGCGATTTTACATAGTTCGTCGAGAGGCTCTCTTATCGGCCAGTTTTATTTTTTTTTACGGAACTGCATCGGTATCGTTGCAACGTGCCATCGCGATCTTTCTTTAAATAGAACTACAGCATCGTTTGATTCGTCGTGTGATTCCGATGCATCGATGTTGCATCCTGTTGCGTTCGAAATGACACGAGGAGGCAAACGGTGCAAGGAAATCCTAACTTTCTATTTAAGAATGAACTGCACAGTATGCAATCGTGCCGGTGCAGTTCAGTGTAAAAACGAACTGCCGCGGCTTAATAAACGAGCAAAGGTGAAAAACTGCTCGAAAGGTTGCCGAATCATTATAGAGGGTTAAGATGCCATCACCCGTACACTATAACCGTGCCGATCATGCCCGAATGTTTGACCAAACACACGACAGAGTTTTGTAGCTACGTGTGCGCATAAATTCTGGCATTTCTTGCATCCACCCTCTCCCCCGCCACCCGCCCACATTCTCTCGATTGCCCCTCGCCCCGCATTCTCTGATCTGCCCTTCGATCAACCCCCCCGAGTATTTGGCCCAACGAGGAGTACCACCAAGGCGGACACGTGGAGGCAGAGCGTGGACGAAGACGCGAGAGATGGCTTTAAAGAGTCTGGTCGTTGCAGTTGATGAACACGCTGATTAAGACAGACATTGAGATCGCGACCCACGTAGCCATGTACGGAGGGACCGAAAAGGACGCGCTGAGACTTCGTCGCAGGAGCGTACCGTTGACTAGGAAGAAATCGTCAATGTCCTATCTCAGTGCACGCTCCGAGACCGACACTGCGATGGCCACCGATGTGAGACCCCCTTCAAAAGGCTGCATGTCACTGCTACAGGCTCTCTCTATCTCTCTTTGCCACCTCTCTCCACCAATGCCTTCTCCTCTTTCATTTTCGTTTTTAATCGATCGCACCGTCCGACAGACTATTTTCTCCGATCCGATAAAAACGGTAGGCCATTTTCACGGATTTTTGGGGTGCTGAGCACGTGTCCAATTTTTAATTCCATTTTTTTAATTATATAATATTTAATTTTTTAACGCCTCAAGTGACTAACCAGTGACACGTCGCTCTCGATAACATTTATTAAAAACTTAATCGTAATAAACCAAATCAAATAATTCGTACGCCAATTTATTTTACTTGTTTCTTCACATTTTCAAACTCCACGTTTCTTTAGCAAACCATGATTTAATAATAAAAAGAAACGATAGGCAACTTCAGTTCAGATTCTTGAACTTCGATGTTCGTTTAAAGGTTTGAGAATTTTTTCTGCTATTTTCTTATATTTTTAACAATAATAAATATGGTTGAACGTGTTTAAACAGCGATGTGAACGTTTAAACACGTTCTATTATAATGTTTGGATGCGTTTGAATATGTCCAGGCATGTTTGAACGATGTTCAAAAGAAGTAACAAGTCAAACTCCTTGGACATTGTTAAAAAATCTTTAAATTTATTTATTTCATATATTTTCTCAGCAGAAAAAATCCGTCAAAATTGAAACTTTAATGAAAGCAGACGATTTTCGTGTTCAGCACGCAAATATCTATGAGAATAGTCCAGTAATTAACGAAACGTAGAATTAGGGTTGGACAGTGTTAATTTCGTTCTCCCACATGATCATCGACCATCGTCTTAATTCCTCCCATCTTCTATTTATCCGCTCTCGTAGCCTCTGTAACGTTGTTTCTAATATTGTTTAATCATCGATGTCTTAGCCCAGTAGTTCTTCATATTCTCACGTGTTAACCAATTTTAGTTAGCTTACATTGTATCCTCTTATTATTTTATTTTTGTTTTTGTTCAATTTTCTTTTTATCATTCGTATCTTGTGCCATACGTTGGGACGATGTTTCGTTTTTTTTCGGTATTGTTTCTATTTTTGTTTCTCTGTTTTTTTTTTGTTCATTTCGTTTATTTTGTATATTTTGTTTATTCACTCGGACACGCTCCCCCCTAAGCCGCCACAAAACATACACACACACACACAGACACATATACACAGAGACTGGTGCGTTCAGATATTGTACAGTTAACGGCGAGATCCACGTACACTTAACACAATAATGATCACACGACGCAGGTGGTTCCAGCCGCTAGTTATTACAGCGCTTCTAAATAGTGTAAGACGAGATATGTATTATCTTTCCTATTTTACGCATCTTCCAGCTTTGTACAAACGGATGCGGATTTGTCCCCGAGCTATTATTTTTTTTTGTATCTCTTTTTTTGTAATTATTTCTCTATCTTTGTTAATATATTGTCGTCCCTCGTTCGTGACGTAGTCGCAGTTGACAGCGGGGCGCCTCCGACGTTGGTGTACATAATTCGCTCGATATCTTATCGCTTAATTTGTTTCTCATTACGTTTACAGCCAGTTTTAGCACCGTAATCACTCGCTTGTTATAACAATAATCATCGATGTCGAGGAGCCGCCAATGGACCACGCAGGATTCGAAGCGGAAACTTTCGAACGTTCGAGTCAACGAGCGAAGTAAAACTCACGAAAATGTTCGAATAAAACAATTCTAATTCCATGATCGAGTCAGAAAATTTGAAAAACAGTAATTGCATTAGCCGCTGCAGCTTCGAGTCCCGCGTGGCGGGAAAACGGGAACCTCAGAGCAACGTTATAAATCATGTGCCCGTGAAATTAGGGCGGCGATAAGACCAGCCTAACGTCGGCCGACGTCGAAACCGAGGGGAAAGAAGAAACAACGGCGGAGCCTGCGAAAACTCCGGAATCTTCCGACTATGGCGAGGATAAGGTCGATGGACCCAAGAAGAAAGAGGGGGAGGAGGAGGAGGAGGAAGAGAAGAAGGTGTCATTTGTCACATACTTCAAATTCCTGGTTGTGATAATCAATAGTGGCCTGTCGACAATGACCAAGTACCTGAACAGATTTTCTAGAGATTATAGATACATACGGAAAGTCCTGGCCAAGGAGAAGAAAGTGTTGAAGGTACGAAACGAATGATTTTATTATAAAAGCAATTGTTTTCGGTCGTTCTATCGATGTTCACGCTCAATGTAAATTCTCAGGCGAAGCCAGACTTTCGAATGGGGATGCGACTGGGCATCAGTCAGATGTGGCAGCCGATACCTCTGATGAAAACGAGGTGAGACAACGAATAGTAAACGGGATCGATCAGAATCTTATCTTTCTTAGCTTCTCGGATATCTGTTCGTAGACGCTTAGCTGTACAGAGTATCGGGATAGCGTTTCTCTGAAGATAGATCGAGAGGAGACCCCAAGAAATCACGAAGAGAGGATCGATACTGTCATCCTAACATTTTCAATTTAACTGATTCCGGTTCTTAACAATGTGCAATTGGCAAATCATATAAAACAATACAGGCTGTCCCATAATTATGTTATCACCCGGAAAGAGGTGATTCCTGAGATCATTTGAAGCATCATTTGATCATTTGATCCTTAGCCAAAATGCAATCCGCGGCTTTGTTTAAGAGTTATTAACGAAAAACACTGACCAATGAGAGGCGAGCTCGCCACGGCTTCGACCGCTCGATGACTGGACCGTCTTGCGCCAGCTGAGCTCGCCTCTCATTGGTCAGTGTTTTTCGTTAATAACTCGTAAACGAAGCCGCGGATTGCATTTTCGCTGAGGAAAAAGTTACTTCAAATGACCCGAGGAATCAGCCTTTTCTGGCTGTTAATATAATTATGGTACATTCTGACTATAAGCAATTATGATGCTACGCTAGGTCCCGTGTTGATCCTCTCGAGTATCGTAGTTCTAGATCGTCGACACATAGCTGTAGTAATGGTGTGCTTGCCCCTAGTACTTCGTTCATCGTAGAATCGTCCGTGAGAAAGGCTCCCTTTCAAGAAGACGCGATATTGACCCCGCCATTTAGGCTAGAGACTATACAGTAGAGGCTAGAGTAGTAAATGTGCTCGCTCTGACAGATCGGAAACTAATGGGAACGCTGAGGAGCAATACGATCCCGGCGAGGGTCCCAGTCGACCTCAATCTCAGGAGCCAAGGTACGATTTGGTTAAATCAGCTTCGTTTGTCTAGTAGATGTCAGTGCTGTGTCCCTACTCGTTTAACTTCCCACTACATCCTCCATCTGTCTACGTGCCCTGTAGTTCCATCTCATTCAATAATCATCCGAGTACTAATGACTTCCGAGACTACTGTTATAGCCAGCCTGCGGAACTTTGCCCCCAAAAAAACATATGTTGCATCAATCGTAAGAGAAAGATGCTGCATACAGATTCAATGTTTCCTTTAATAATTTCAAGAAGCTCACTTGAATTATTTTAATTTGTCCACTGTTTTAAGTTGTGCTGCTTTGCGTTTTTTCTTTTGTCATAAATGCTTGAAATGCTGCCCCCACTACGAGTTCCTGGCTTCGCCCCGCCCATTGTAGGCGGAGCTGCGCAAGGAAGTGGGGATACAGTGGCCTTGAGAAAGTTTAAACCCCGATCAAACAGTAGCTCCGATCACTTACGCTAACGTAGAAGCGCATTTAGACAATTAATCACGATAAAGCTAGATAAAAACTATTGGATAAAACTATTATGATAAATTTATAACTATAACCATAAGATAAAATTATTAGTCGAAGCTGAAGCTCTGTGAATAAAGTTCAATGTACTCCAACCTTCCACGCGAACCTGTTGCACCGAACACCCACGAATCCTGCGCTGTGGTTCGGTTCGCAGAGATCCATGATGTCCCTTTTAAACAACAGGAATACAACAACGACATGGATCGAAGCGATCACGTCCCCGTCCGAGGAACAGTCGTCGTAAGTCCCAAACCCTTTTCCCTCCCTCTGTCTCTTCCCATTTATGTAATCGTAATCTCAGATCAGTGCTGTCCGCACACGGTTCCTTGGAAAACAAGCACTGACGCTCGAACGTAACTTGACACAAACGTAGAAAGAGAGTAGTATTATTTTTGCCAGGAAAGGAAGCTCGCTGACGGTCCCGCATATCCGAATTCTGGCGCCGAGTTTGGAGCGAGGATTGGACATGTCCTCCTCCAGGTATCGAGAATGCTCCCTATGAAATTTCTTACGACTGCTCGACGCACAATCTGATCATCGTATGCAGCACGTGCTCTATCAATCACATTTTGTTCGATGTTTGCTCCTCTTTTCAATCATGCTACGCCGAACGTTCGGTTTGCATACTGCAAGCTATTCATTCGTTAACGCATTATCCGCTGAACTATTTGTTGATGCGATGCGCAGCTGTTTTGGCATTCGAGAATGTTGTCATGAACTGTTCGACAGCAATTGTTCGACCAAACTGTTCTAGCGACTTCTTTTGGAATTGTTATTTAGAACAGATCGAATTTTATTTGCTTCTAGCATGGAAATTGCTCTGAAGACGAACAGTCGATTTTTAATCAGCAGGAAAGAACGTCCATAGTCGGACGAACTTGGTCAGACTTGATTGATTAAATTCCGGTAGAATAGAAAATTGCGACAAATTGAAGCACATGTTTGGTGGTAAAATGGTAGCCTTTAAACCCTGTGGTTCGATGAAATTCAGAATGACGAGAAGATCGCTTTACAGAGTGAACGATAGAAATAAAATCGTTTATTTTTCGAAATATTCAAAATCACTGTACAAAAAGAAATATATTAGATTCGTTTGCAGAACTTTTTAAAGACATTCACATACGATCACGAGACAATGTTTTTGTTCTTTCAGCATCACTCACGGTGGAGGATTCTCGCGATCCCCAGCTTTCAATGTGCTTTTGATATTCGCATCACAGAAGAAAACAATTTATTTTCTTTCCTCTGTGTGTCACTGTCGAAAATCATCGACTGACAGTTTAAGATAATTAACATTATATAATTCCGTGTATAGCACCCTATTCTCGGAACTATCGCCGGTGCAACACGACGACGAGGGTGCAGAGCTGTCCGAGGTCGATCAACCTCCGATCATCCAAATGCTGGCGTCCATTTGGTTCGGAATTCTGGCGCATTCGAGCCTCCTCTGTTACTTCATGGTGTTCCTTCATCAAATTAAAAACGCATCCGTCCTGTCCACCCCTCTGCCTCTCATGGTGTTCTGCTGGGGTTCCTTAACCATCCCCCGTCCGTCGAAAACGTTCTGGGTCACTCTGATCGCTTACACCGAGGTGAACCATACCGTTCTTCTTTTAACAATTCGCCCAAAGATTCGAGCAACCAATTAATCGAATGTCTGTCTCTACAGGTGATTGTTATTGTGAAATGCATTTTCCAATTGGAACTACTGCCATGGAACAGAGACGCAGCTCCGAACAATCCTCTTTTCGCACCTAGGATCATTGGCGTCGAAAGGAAACCAAATTATGCACTCTGGGACCTCCTGCTTCTGCTCATGGTGTTCTTCCACAGGTGAATTGTTTTAAACATTTTCGACACGTACATTACACTGTCGCAATCAGTATTGAACGATGTTCAATCTCAAATCTCAATGTTCAAAATCGATGTGACAAATGTCGATAAAGGTACAATGGAAAAATCTAGATGATTCTAGAAAAATCTAAAATAGGAAAAGTGGATATTTAAATTAATTGCAGAAAGCTGACGAAGTTTATGCTTCCAGGTTCATGCTAAAATCATTGGGACAGTGGACATCGCCGTCTATCAAGCCAAGGAAGATCATCCCCTCTTCCTTAACCATTGTCTCGGCCAAACCGCCTGACAAGGGGCAAGGGGAGCCTGTGTCTCGACAGGACGAGCCAGAGTACGTTAATTTGTTCTATTAATAAATTATTTATATTTCAAACATCAACCAGGTAATATTTGTTATCTTCCCTCAGCGATGGAGTGACTGTAGTAACGCCTAAAGGGAAGAGACTGAACATGCAGGCAACTGGCGAAGGCGAAACTGTTCCAACAACCGATGAACACGAGAAATTGGTCGCAATTCAGGGCGAAGAAGTGGATCCTTGCGTGGAAGAGGTGCCAACAGCTGTGAACATGTCGTAAGCATTCTAGAACATGGGATTTATTTTTTGAGACTTCAGATTCATTTTTGATAGACTTGAAGATTCATTTTTGTAAGCAGCGATGCAAGAGACTTAGAGACCCAGAGACTTCTTCGTTTCAACGAATAAACTGCCCCGAATTCCCCTAATTTTTGCGACTGCCGAGTCCTAAGTTTCAACTAATTTTCAGGGTAAATAAGTACGTCCAGCCGACGCAGCAGTTCTTCAAACAGATCCTCAGTCCATTCGGCAAAGAGAAGACGAACGTGTACGCGTACATGTTCCTCTGCGACTTCTTCAACTTCCTGCTCCTGATCTTCGGTTTCTCTGCATTCGGAGTGAGTGTCCTTTATCTTGACGCCATAATATCAAGCGCTGATCTCTCTCTGACACGTAGACGCAGCAAGGCGACGGTGGAGTGACCGCCTACCTGCAAGAAAATCGCGTGCCAATGCCTTTCCTGCTGATGCTGCTGCTGCAGTTCGCCTTGATAGTCATCGACAGAGCTCTGTTCCTGAGGAAATCGATCCTGGGAAAGCTGATCTTCCAGTACTGGCTGATATTCGGCGTTCACGTCTGGATGTTCTTCATTTTGCCCAGTGTAACCGAAAGGTAATTATACCAAACCCCGACCGATCGGATTTTCTGCGAATAATCATCGTCATCAACGATTACAGGCAGTTCAACGACAAACTTCCGCCGCAAATCTGGTACATGGTGAAGTGCTTCTATCTCTTGCTGGCGGCTTATCAACTGCGACAGGGTTATCCGACGAGGATATTGGGCAACTTCCTGTGCAAGAAGTACAGCATCGTCAATTACGTCTTGTTCAAAGGGTTGGGACATCTTCTGTCTTTAGTCTTTATAGCTTTAGGCTTCATAATTAGTCTGAAACGTGATTTGGTCTTTCAGATTCATGCTAGTGCCGTTCTTGTTTGAGCTGAGGGCTGTGATGGACTGGATCTGGACGGACACGTCCATGACGATCATGGACTGGTTCAAGATGGAGGATATTTTTGCGAGCATCTACCAAATTAAGGTACACTCTACTATTTCTATGAAATCTGTGCGAAGACAATGATTAAAATAGTATTTTAAAGAAGTCACTACAATAATAATGATTCAAATAGAATTTCAAAAAAGTTTGTACAAGAGCAATGATTCAGATACAATTCCAATGATACCTATACAAAGGCAACAATCAGACTAGAATTTCAAAGATGCTTATATATATAATAGATATTATATACAATATAGTAATATATAGTAGTATATAGTATATAGTAGTAATAGAATATAGTAGTATATAGTATATAGTAGTATATAGTATATAGTAGTAATAGAATATAGTATATAGTAGTATATAGTAGTATATAGTATATAGTAGTAATAGAATATAGTAGTATATAGTATATAGTAGTATATAGTATATAGTAGTAATAGAATATAGTAGTATATAGTATATAGTAGTATATAGTATATAGTAGTAATAGAATATAGTAGTATATAGTATATAGTAGTATATAGTATATAGTAGTAATAGAATATAGTAGTATATAGTATATAGTAGTATATAGTATATAGTAGTAATAGAATATAGTAGTATATAGTATATAGTAGTATATAGTATATAGTAGTAATAGAATATAGTAGTATATAGTATATAGTAGTATATAGTATATAGTAGTAATAGAATATAGTAGTATATAGTATATAGTAGTATATAGTATATAGTAGTAATAGAATATAGTAGTATATAGTATATAGTAGTATATAGTATATAGTAGTAATAGAATATAGTAGTATATAGTATATAGTAGTATATAGTATATAGTAGTAATAGAATATAGTAGTATATAGTATATAGTAGTATATAGTATATAGTAGTAATAGAATATAGTAGTATATAGTATATAGTAGTATATAGTATATAGTAGTAATAGAATATAGTAGTATATAGTATATAGTAGTATATAGTATATAGTAGTAATAGTATATAGTATATAGTAGTATATAGTATATAGTAGTATATAGTATATAGTAGTATATAGTATATAGTACATAGTAATATAGTATATAGTAGTATATAGTATATAGTACATAGTAGTATAGTAGTATAATATAATATAATAAATGATTGTGAATTGATTTTTAGTGCATGAGAGGGTTGGAGACGGACTTCCCTCAGCCAAGGGGCGTGAAGAAGAAACAATTAAGCAAGTATCTAGTGGGAGGCGGTGCCCTGTTCCTCATTATCGGACTCATTTGGTTCCCACTGCTGCTGTTCGCACTTGGCGGCACAGTCGGCGACTCGAACCTACCTTACGATGTATCCATGAAAATTCGCATCGGTCCTTACGAGCCGATCTACTCGATGTCAGCGCAAACCAGATCGATCGTCGGATACACCGAGGCCGAATACACGGAATTCCATAATGTGTACGCGAAAAATAAACCGGCGGTCACATTTCTCGAGAACTACATTCATTCCGACGTCGCCGCGGTGAGATTAAGCGGATCCTCACGGAAGCTATGGAGCATATCACCGCCAGACTTGCAACGGTAGGGGAAAAATGTGTGAAAGTTTGATGAAGCAAAAGCTCACGTTTCTCACCTCGTTCGGCAATAATTGCAGAAGACAGTTCAGAAACGGAGAAAAGAATAATTACAAAACGGACATATTCGTTCCCATAATTTGTTAGATCAACGTCGCTGATTGCAGATTGAAGGCAGAGCTAGAAGACAACAGTACCACCGTCGTGATCCACGTGGAGTGGACAGTGTCGCGGAAAACGTACGCGAAAGACGCGAGCGAGGTGACAAGGAAGTTGCGGGATATTCCGTTGCCACCGTACGTCGATGGAGAGTTCAATCCCGTCAGGCTGAGACTGGCAGAAATACTATCGACCGACGAGGCGACGCCCCATAACGGGACCATAACGTTGCCGAGCGCTTTCCCGAAGTTCTTGAAAGTGACCAGCATAACTACCGACGTCGTTCCCCAATTAATGCAGATAAGTGAGTAACGACGGATCCAACGAGACGAAGCAGGTCTGCAGCTTGCACAATTGTGTTTCAGGAAAGGGGCCCGACGATGAGGAATCCGAGCCGAACGACAGCTATCTCTACAGAAGCATCAACCTGCACTTGTCCACAGATGCAGCTTGCTGCGCTCGCCAGAAATGGTGGGTGGTCAAAGAAGTCTGCAACGACGACCTGTACATTAATCAGTTGTACAAAGTGCCATTGAACAACTGCAATTACATCATGATGTTCTTGTTCAACGACAAAACGTTCCCCGAGGAGCTGAGCTTCATCAGCGGCTTCGGGTAAGCTCGAACGAATCGCCTGATGCTAATCGTTGGCAACTTAATTTCTGGCCCGGACAGTGGCCGCTTTTGCTAAGTATGGAATTTGATCTACGTGAGAAAAGGGGGATGAACGTGGCTATGCTTTTATAGAATCCTGGGATTGTACACCACCGCGGTGATAGTGATAAGTCAGATGATGAGGAAGATAGTGAGCGACATGGCGCCGAAGATCATGTTCGACGACCTGCCCTACGTGGACAGGATCCTCAGGCTGTGTTTGGACATTTATTTGGTCCGAGAGAGCGGGGAATTGTGTCTCGAAGAGGATCTGTTCGCCAAATTGATCTTCCTCTATAGATCGCCGGAGACGTTGATCAGGTCTTGCGCCTAAAATCATTGTTGATCTTTGTTAGTCACTTAATTTGAAACAGGTCTGACGAGGATTGAAATGATTCCAGGTGGACGAGACCACCGGAAGAGGGCGAGAGGACCGACAACGAAGACCAAGATGAGATAGAGGATGACAGAGAAGAGTCCCAAGCGTAAACGAGATTATGGGAAAGCTTGCTTCGCATCCTGCTCGGTGGGAGAATCCCGGAAAGTGTTATGACATTTATTATAGGCAATTTGTTACCTAGGGAAGAGAATATTTATGACGAATCCGTCGACAATTCGGAACGATGACAATAGAAAGCGCGATTGTCGGCAACGCCGTATCCGAAAATGATTCGAAACTCAGGAATTTATGGCCACCGCGTTTGTTGCGATTGTTCCTATCTTCGAAGAGTCTATTGCAAACGAGCATGTATATAAAACAGGTTGAACAAAAAAAGAAACAGGGAACACGCGTGGGGGGGATGCTAACGTGACGATAAGAAACGGCTGATAATTGATGAAAAATATCGAGAATTCCGCCGTGTTTGTTTCACAAAAATATACCACGTTCCGGTGATCTTTATTTTAATATTTATTATATAGTATTTATTAACGTACGGATTAATATTCTGATCATCACACGTAACAGTAACGCAAGGAAATGATTTTTACACAAGTGCTTTGAACATTTCATAGTTCTTGAAACGTTCACGTCGTACCATTCTAGGAGATAGTGCTTTTCTTTTTTTTTTAATTATTATTTGTCAGGTCGAACCGACGGGCATTTCTAGCAGTGATGCACTTAGTGTCGCATTCGTGTAGGTAAGGAAGCGATTATCTAACCCTCGGGGATGAACAGTGTATGTCCCAAAAACTGCCGTCATCGCAGAATTTAGTTGTTTTATACCTTTTCTAATCATCGACACACCTAGCTCTGTCATTCATCTCTGCCATGATCCGGCTGCCTAGCCAAGCGTCTCGCGCTCGTTTTATATGTATATCGATTACATTTAAACAAAGATTTAATACCGCAAAAAAAAGAAGTCATTGTTTGTACATATACATTTTACGATCTGCATTCGTCGGAACATTGTATCACGTCGCCTTGATACGTCTTATAAAAATATAATTCAAATATAAATTGTTTCGAATCAGTGCTGACCTATTTTCTTCCACCTAACAGTTCCGTTAATTACGAATAAGAAGAAATTACGGTACAACGTTGAGCGTGCTGTCGATATAAAGAATTTTATTCAACAGTTTCGTACAGAAAACGATCGTTACAAATTTCCTCAATAAATATATCAACCACAAACGAACGCAAGCTCGACCATTCGAGGACGCGAATCTTAAAGATGGGCAATGCATTTCTAATGACTAAAAATATTAGTAAAAAATAGAATCTTTTATTAATCTCGGTATACTTAAATATCACTTAATACGTAACAGTTTTAGAAAGTACTGTGTTGGTAAAACATGTGCTGGCAATAGAATGGAATGGATCATCTCTTCAACAAGTTCCTAAGCACCTATGACTGCCCTAGGGACCTCTAGGGGCAAATAAGCTTCGCTGCAATTATTTAAATAGCTCCTTACACTTCAGCTTCAGCGTAAGGTTCTCCTGCTTAAGATGATCCAACTCTTCCAACTTTTTCTGCAGCTCCGCATTTTGTTTCTGTAGAAAGACAATATCTTCCTTTAGTCTCTCATTTTGTTCCATTAGGCTTCTTACTGTACTAGATTCTTTACTGGGACGTATTTCATTAGTTATCTCATCCGTCTGAACTAGGATATTCTTAATTAGGTTCGCCTGAGAATGAAAGTGCAGCTCTTGCATGAATCTCAGGATTTTGGAGCTCTCCTGTTTGGTATGCGTGCTTACAATGTCCTTGATGGCATCTAGCAGCGCATCAGGATTAATTCCCTTGACATCAGACTTGTTCGAAGATTCGTGACTCTTTGCTTTCTCTTTAGCAATTTCTACCTGAGAACTGCTTCCTTTCGAACCATCCGAAGGTCTGTTCTCTTTAGCACACATATCCCACGCTTGATTGCTCTCCTTGCAGCTACCAGAACGTCTCATTCTATCTTTACTCGCAGTTTTACTCTCTGCAATTCTCACCTTTGTCTCTCTAATCTTCGTTCTGATATCGTCTTTAATTTCTTTCTCATCGGACTTTACTTTATTCTCAATGGGCTTCAGTTTAGTATCACTGGCTATTTTATCTCTCTTCTCGGATATCCTAACTTTTGTCTGTTGCTTTTTAGCATCTTGTTCTAATATCTTTTTGGTCTCCCTTACCGAGTACTCTTTCAGAACCGACTGCTTCTCTGAAAATGTAGGCTGCTCGATCATTTGATTCAAAGTGTCTCCTTTAGGTGAATGCAGTTGGTGCAGTGGAGTAGAAGTAGCAGTCCTGGTTGTTATATGTCTATCTACCGGGATAGTATTACTTTTAGTATTTGTAGGAGGAAGCAGGCCCAAATCTTCTAAGAAAGAGTCATTCATTTTTCTTTCTTAGATAAAGAATACACGGTATCAACAACAATGATGATACACAATGCCTGTGTGTGTGTGTGTGTGTAGAAATATATCCTTCCTATGAAGATCACGTAAAAAAGTTAATTAATTAAGGAACATTCCCTGAGCATCAGTATTCCACAAATTCTTTCGATAAAATTGCTATTTTATTTTGATTGTTTAATCACAATATCCAACAGAACAGGCTATTCTGTCGCTCCGAACGAAAATTCGTCGTGCAAGTTCAATGATCAATAATGCACCAGACAATCAGAACAGCACAACTTTATTATTGCGTCAGAGTCTTTATACAATTCAAAGAGATAATGCCAGCAACAATTCTGTGCTAACCTTCGATTAAATTGAAGGACGCAAAACTTCGACGAACGACCAATTCAAATTAACTTGTTTAGTGAATCAGCTGATGCAGATTCATTACCAAATGTATAGCATCAATGTCCCTAATGATCCCTAACTGCAGGGGAAATTTAGAATCCCCCCCTCATAAATTTCATTGAATAGCACAAATTGCTCTTATTTCTACTTTAATCATTGAAAATATTTATACGTAATACAATAAAATTCGTGATAGAACGTTTCATGTATTTTGTCCAATTTTCTGAACGATGGAATATCAGAATGGACCATATAGTTTCGTCTCACACGTTCTGAAACATCGACAAAGTCTACGCCAATGGTTTCCACGCGCCATCTGTCCAAATAGAACGGTCAGCGAGTGAACTACGTAAGACGGCAATGCAGAAATTTCGTTTGTATTTTACAATGTTGCCGTCTCGAAAAATACAATACATAATGTTGCAGTGTGTGCTCGAGACTTTCCAACTCAACGAATCACCGAGGCAAAGTAACTGAAAATTTAGAAGAGTTTATCTATAATTATAGATATATCTATAAATATATATATAATTATAGATATCTATAAATATATATAATTATAGATATATCTATAATTATCTGTAACAAAATATTATTTCATAAATATCGAAACTCCGTTTGCAAACTAGAGATATACAATTTATTATCATTTCATTTATCATACTTTATAATCATTTCATTTATTCGCATTTAAACAATTTTCTAACATCATTAGCTTTTCTAGAGATAAAGATTACTCTTAATGCTTTAGAAAATTTTGACTAGAAGCGATGTAAATGAAAAGAAAAGAACTAATTAAATTACATTTATTACGATCTCGATTGTCAAAAAATCTGAACAAACATCAATTACGATCAAATAGGATCTTCGAAAAAGTTAGGAGTCAATTTATCGAGACTTGAAACAATTGATCTATGTATTAGTTCGAACCCATTTTACTGCCGGCTTAAATTATAGTTATAAATTATAATTTCTTCATTCGCGCTTTATGCGTGAAAGCTGCCTATACTTTCGCATTTCAGCAACGTGATAAACCGCCTCTACCACTGCAGAAACGTCGCAAACGTTGCGGATAGATAATGATCGCAAATCTAATCGTGTCATTGGATAACGTAGCTTGAAAACAATCGCGATCATTGCATAATAAATGTGCTAGGAAAATGCGGCCGTCACCGAAGGCTCGAGAAAAGAAACCAGGGAGAAGGAACTACTGCTCCACTTCTTTCGAACAATTTCAAGCAGCTGGTGCGAGCGTTGATCTCGCTCCTCTCCCGAATCGTTTAACATTATAATGACGAGGTCCCCGAGAGAACAGTCGCGACAGGTAGGAACATGCCCGGAGACCTGTTGCGAGAGAACGGACCCCCCGCAGCCTGCGTTCACCGTCAAATGTTATCTTCATCTATCCCGGCCTAGAGACACGAACAGTTAAAGATCTTAGACTCCCGAGCTCCTCTCATTCGGCCGTGCAAAAGTATTTCGTACGAGTTGCCGTTAGCATCGGCGTAATCCTCGGGGCCATTCTTTGGTACGCGAAAGCATCGTTGGTCGAGACATCCGTTGGTTGGTCCCGAAATCTCTCCCTTCGCGGATCGCGATCGGAATTCACGGTTCGGGATCGCGAAGGCGATTAAAATCAACGAATTCACAGACAGGCGAAATGTCACCAGATTAAGAGATTATCGGGACGTGACAATCAAGAACGCGGGGGTAATTGCCGGCAGCTTGTAACACAATGATCACGCGCGATAATGGCATGCTAAGACCTGCTAGACACTGGACGACAACGTGTGCCGCGATCGACTTGCGTCACGCACGCACGCTGAATAATTAATGATACCGAATGCCGAAAGAAATAAATGTACGCCACGAGGAATCGAGTAAACATACCACGGAATTAATTTCGGCGTGTCGCGAGCCCGGAACCTGCTCGTGTTAATCGATCGGGGTACACGTCCACCTGGAACATTATCATTCGGAAAATTACCATTCGCCATTTCGGCTGATAGATCCCTTGCGTAAGACGCGCCACTGTCTACGATTGTTGCAACATCGCCTAAAATCGTGTTCTGTATTTTGTGCTTAACGCATGGGCGGCGGAAGTTGTGGGCAAAAATATACGTACGTGATAATTAATAATAAATAAATATATAAATATATTTATACATTTATAATAAATATATATGTATATAAAATGTAATACATGTAATAAATAAATATACGTAATAATTTGAAATAATAAAAATAGTATAAATAAATGTATATAGTATAAATAGTATAAATAATGATGAAAACATTTATAATCTGGGTCCACGTAGACCCGAACACAGCCATTCGAGTATTAATCGTGTACTTTTGCGATATTTTCTGTCGCGTTTCTGACAAGGTGATAACAAATGTTTAACTTCTTCTGAGATTTAATTTAATTGATCGCTCTATTTGCTTCTAAAGAAATCAGGAAAAATTCCGCGGCTCATCAACCCCAAAAATTCCCACAAAATCTGAGATCAATTAAACTGAATCTAGAAAGTTAAACTTTATCGTAGTGCACGATGTTTTGACCCTTTCGCTTTCTAAATATCCTAGCAAAATTCAATTAATCCCAATATAATACAATAAAAATTAATTTTGAAAACTAGTAAATAATTATTGCCACTCATTAAGAGCTCAATGAAGACCAGCAAGATATTGGTTAATAAGCGATATTAATGATTGATTAGTAAACTAATGACAACGTTTTACAGTAAGAAAATATATATTTGTTGTGCCATGTTTATTTTCTATATCATGAATGTTCAAGTACTGATAATAGACAAATTAAATCTTATTTCAATACAAAATAAATAAATAACATCTAAATGTAATAAATAATAATTCTGTTCGAGATCTTCGTCACGAGACTGACACAATATCGTGGTACAAGATCTTAATTATTCAATAAAATTTTATCGTACATGAACGAACTAATAAGAAGCAAAATCTTGAAAATAGACGAATAAATAATCTTCCCAATTCTAAGGTTGGGGGAAGAGGAGAAGGAACGAAATCGCGGAGAGGGCAAAAAATAAAATCGGGTACGCGAACACATAGATCGGGATCCACGTACGCGATACACGCGTTCGTTTACGTAAGAGCATGCGGGTGTACGGTTTTATCTGATTGCCTCGGCCCAGGAGTCGTTTCAAGAAAGTTATACGACCGTCATTACATCGTAGAGACGCGAGAGAGCAAAAACGAATATTATAATCGAGCGAACGGCCGCTTTTGAACCATTTCTTCTCCGCCACGGCTGTCCGATCGAACATTCCTCCGCGAGTTGTTAATTATCATCCCCGCTGTTAAGTAATTGTCACGCAACGCTTCTGTAACGGGACGCGTGTTGCGCAACCTCTTAAATTAATAACAGAGAGTAAAACAATATTTTGCGGTTGCGCCGGAGTGATAGATCGTCCGGCATTATTCTTCCGCTTTTGTTTCTTGCGGAGATCCATAACCGTCTGTGTTGCTTTGTACTTAGCTGCCAACCCGGAATTGGCAGTCCCTGTGTCAGTCGACGAGTGGAACGAATTCTTTTGTCCGTTTTGCGGGGTGGGGGACAGTCGCGGATTCATATGGGTGCCATGTGTGGGGAACAGAACGCCTTGCTCACGGCAACCGCGTTGCTCTCTCGTGCATCGGGTGGCCTGAGTCTCCACCCAATGAAGTAATTAAGAGATAGAGAGATTAGCATCCTCGGAAGAGGATTGTCTAATAGTATTGTCTAATATAAACGTTACTAGTGCGTACTAATATATGTTATATTATATTACATTACATTGCATTTACATTGCGTTTACATTGCGTTTACATTGCGTTTACATTGCGTTTACATTGCGTTTACATTGCGTTTACATTGCGTTTACATTGCGTTTTCATTGCGTTTGCATTGCATTGCATTGCATTTGCATTGCGTTTACATTGCATTTACCTTGCATTTACATTGCATTTACCTTGCATTTACCTTGCATTTACCTTGCATTTACCTTGCATTTACATTGCATTTGCATTGCATTTGCATTGCATTTGTATTGCATTTGTATTGCATTTGCATTGCATTTACATTGCATTTACATTACATTATATTATATTCTGCAGAAATTTATACAATTATCTGCAGACAGCAAGTTCTACAACAAACAATTTGTCGATGTCCTGCACTAGCTCGTCCAATAATTATTACATGATCTATACTTTGTTCACGAGAAGAAAATGAAATAACCTTCTTCAACCTTACACGTCCCAAATTGAAGGAAAATTAAAAGTGATAGAATTGTCCTCCAACTCTGCAGAAGTTCGCACAACCATCTCTAAATAGGATATTCTACCACAACGAACTTAAAGATGTTTCTTATCAATATTCTTAAAAATCTTCATTAATACAACAACGTCTATTGATCTGTATAATGATCGTCGGAAGCTTTTACTCGTATAAGAACAAAATAAAATGCTCCGTGTTGAATCGTGCGCCGTACCCTGTGAATAGAAACGCGACAGAATATCTTCGAAAATGTCGCGATGGTTCGTACAATTGCCACGAAACAGGAAGCTCGCGGAACAGACGGAAAAGCTCGCGGTGCAACGCGAACCCGGCGACAAGATCGTTAGGACAAATTACCGCGGCGGAGTCGTAAAGCACGGNTTGCATTTACCTTGCATTTACCTTGCATTTACCTTGCATTTACCTTGCATTTACCTTGCATTTACATTGCATTTGCATTGCATTTGCATTGCATTTGTATTGCATTTGTATTGCATTTGCATTGCATTTACATTGCATTTACATTACATTATATTATATTCTGCAGAAATTTATACAATTATCTGCAGACAGCAAGTTCTACAACAAACAATTTGTCGATGTCCTGCACTAGCTCGTCCAATAATTATTACATGATCTATACTTTGTTCACGAGAAGAAAATGAAATAACCTTCTTCAACCTTACACGTCCCAAATTGAAGGAAAATTAAAAGTGATAGAATTGTC